CTTGCCCGTTGTTGCGGCGAATCATGGTGACTTGTCGAATCGCATGGCCTTTGAGCCGGCGATGTTCCATTCAAATTTYTGCCCTATCAACTTTCGATGGTAGGATAGAGGCCTACCATGGTGGTAACGGGTGACGGAGAATTTGGGTTCGATTCCGGAGAGGGAGCCTGAGAGATGGCTACCACATCCAAAGAAGGCAGCAGGCGTGTAAATTACCCAATCCTAACATAGGGAGGTAGTGACAACAAATAACAATACTGGGCTCTTTCGAGTCCGGTAATTGGAATCAGAACAGTCGTAAACTCCTTGAACGAGGATCCATTGGAGGGCAAGTCTGGTGCCAGCAGCCGCGGTAATTCCAACTCCAAAAGAGTATATTTAAGTTGTTGCAGTTAAAAAGCTCGTAGTTGGATTTTGGGTGGGAGGGGTTGGTCCGCTCTTGCGGGCGTGTACCGGCCCTTTCGCCTTTCTTGCCGGGTATGCGTTCCTTGCCTTTATTGCCTGGGATCCAGAGCCGGCGCTGTTACTTTGAAAAAATTAGAGTGTTCGGGATTGGAGTAATGATTAATAGAGACGGTTGGGGGCATTCGTATTCCATTGTCAGAGGTTAAATTCTTGGATTTATGGATGACGAACTTCCGCGAAACCATTTGCCAAGGACGTTCCCATTAATCAAGAATGAAAGTTGGGGGATCGAATACGATCAGATACCGTCCTAGTCTCAACCATAAACGATGCCGACTAGGGATTGGCGGATGTCTATTGGATGACTCTGCCAGCACCTTGTGAGAAATCAAAGTTTACGGGTTCTGGGGGAGTATGGTCGCAAGGCTGAAACTTRAAGGAATTGACGGAAGGGCACCACCAGGCGTGGAGCCTGCGGCTTCATTTGGCTCAACACGGGGAAACTCACCAGGTCCAGACATAGCAAGGATTGACAGATTGAGAGCTCTTTCTTGATTCTATGGGTGGTGGTGCATGGCCGTTCTTAGTTGGTGGAGTGATTTGTCTAGTTAATTCCGTTAACGAACGAGACCTCAGCCTGCTAAATAGCTACGCAGTGACCTTTCCTCGTGGCCAGCTTCTTAGAGGGACTGTTGGACGACTAGCCAACGGAAGTTTGAGGCAATAACAGGTCTGTGWTGCCCTTAGATGTTCTGGGCCACACGCGCGCTACACTGATGAATCCAACGAGTCCCTTGCCTGGGTCGAAAGGCCCAGGTAACCTTATGAAGGTTCATTGTGATGGGGATAGATTGTTGTAATTATCGATCTTGAACGAGGAATTCCTAGTAAGCGCGAGTCATCAGCGCGCGCTGATTACGTACCTGCCCTTTGTACACACCGCCCGTCGCTCCTACSGATTGAATGGTCCGGTGAAGTGTCACGATTGCGGTGCTCTCGGCGGTTTGCCGCTAGGGGTGCTTTGAGAAGTTCATTGAACCTTATCATTTAGAGGAAGGAGAAGTCGTAACAAGGTTTCCGTAGGTGAAGCTGCGGAAGAATCATTGACACGTGAATGGCCGATCTTCGGGGTGTGGGACGCTGGCTTGCTCGCCCGTCCGCCACCCCTTGCCCCCATCCTCCGTGCATCCGCTTTTCTCTTCCGTTTCAACACCATCTTGGGCTTAGTGCCCAGCTGGCGGCTGGCCCGGCGCAAAGGGGCGCGTGGTGTAGGTCGAGGGTGCGGGGAGTGGGCAGGGTCTGGGGCCTTGTGGCGTTGCTCCCCCTTCATCCCGTCTCGCCTGCGCAGGTTGTTACCTCGACCCCGCCCCACTCTCGATTTCTGGTCAGGATGGCGGTTGGTCCGGGCACGGACAGCCCTGCGGGAGGGTCAGGGGCGGGATGTCGGGTGGTGGCAGCTGTCCCCGGCCTGCGTACCCCCGCTACTTCCCGTCTTCTTTCATCTGTTTTGCGTTTCCAGACCTCCTGTCCATCCCGGCCTTGACCTCGGCTTCGTGCGGAGCTTGTGGCTTGTTTGGGGATCCAGGGTCGTGGTACAGGCTAGGGGCGGGGTGTGTTGTGGGGTCCTCAGCCCCTCACCGTTTCGTCCTGCCTTCCTTCCCAACGGGGTTCTCCTTTCCGGACAGATCGTCGTCCTGAAGACAGTTGAGGTGGTCTGAATCCCGGGGTGGAGGGCCTTTGGCGGAGGGTTTTGGTCGTGAACGGGGAGGTGTCGGGTTTGGGGGGGGCGGGAGGAGACAGCGCTTGCACCCTTAATGCCCCCCTGCTCCCTAGTGCCCTGCATGGCCCCCCGAACAGGGGGTCGGGCGGGCCCGGGGCAGCGGCTGGTGGCGACGGCTTTGCAACTTCCTACTGATGTACCTGCTCTGATTTGTCGCTGTCCGGGTTGACGGCCCCCTTCTGTTCTGGTCGAGGGGTCGGTCCTGTCGGAACGGCACCATATTGTAGAACTCTCGGCAAACGAATAACTTGGCCCTCGCAACGATGAAGAGCGCAGCGAAATGCGATGCTGAATGTGAATTGCAGAAATCCGTGAGCCATCGATACCTTGAACGCACGTGGCGCCCAAGGCTTCYGCCGAGGGCACGCCCGCCTGCGCATCGTTGGATTCCACACGACCTCAGCACCTTCTTTTTCAGAGACTGGTGGGGTCCGTGGTCGTGGCTTCCCTCGCYTCCCACTTGGAGAGCGTCGATGGCCTAAAGTGGAAGGGAATTGGAGAGCATTCCGAGCGGGCCTGTGGGGGCCGCAGCCCAGAGTGGTGCGTTTCGCTCCGCCCTGTTGTTGCCCTCCAGCACCCGTTTGTGGGTGGTGGTCTTCGTTTCCCTGAAAACGGC